ATTGAAGGTCAGTGTGGGGAAGCATAATTTCTTCAGTGATGGAATTTTTTCCACACAGTCTGTTCTAAATTTTTCACACTAACAGATTAAACCCCTTTTTGTGACAGACAGCCAGCCACACAATGTGGCCTTTTTTTATGAGAACGTTCTTGTAAAAGAGTAAATTTAGGAGCTTTACAGATACAGAAATACCTTTATTAAGCAGAACTCATATCAAATAATCAGCGCAGCCCAAACCTCTCTTTCCATGTTTTTTGTACAATGAACTGGTAGAAGTTGACCCTAGCAAGGGTCATGTGGGTGCCTGATTAATACAGCTTTCACTAAAGTATTAAAAAACAAACAAACAATACACTCACTACAATGTGTATGCAAAAAAAAATGTGTTAATGCATGTACAGATTATTTATCCAAAATTCACAACTTTTTCCAGGCTTTTTCTAAAACAACAATTTTTTTCCAGACGCAAGGTTATAAAATACATGTACTACATGTGATCAAAGCGCACGAACAAAGCTTCTTCCATGACGTGTAGGTGAGATTGAATAAGATTTGACCAACACAAAAAAAATTTCACTTGTGAAGCACTTGTTGTAGCTTTCAAAAAAACTCAAGACTTTTTACCATTTTTTCAAGACTTTCCCTCTATTTTCCAGACTTTTTCCAGGTCTGGAAAATTGCCGGGCCAATTTCAAGAATTTTTCAAAAATTCAACTCTGTACGAACCCTGATTGTATAACTTAAGATTATTAAATACCAATGTTTTCAAGTTTTGTTTTAGACCACCCTTTGAGCAGAGCCTCTTTTTGTCTTCTTGATCGAGGAGGAGAAAAGCAGGCTCTTCCTGTATCGCCTCAAACCTTTGAGGTTGCCACAGCCCAAACTTCTGGACTTTTTTAGTGCGAGCATCCGTTTAAAGATAAACCAATGGACTTAACCGAGCCCTTGCTCAATAAAGATCTTACTCAATTCATGTAGAGTCTTTCTCGAGTACACCAAATTCAAGCAAGAGAAAGAACGGAGCCAGCAGCCATTGCTGGCAGGGTGACTTTAGAATAGCTTGGCACTTTACAACTTTACAGCTTCAAAACAAATACAATCAATTGATCAAGCAAAAACATTTAAAGTGATACTGCAGTAAAAAAGATGGATTATTACACTGCTTTCATCTTAACAAATGTCCTTAGGATATCCTTTGGAATTCGTAGAGTTGCAATCGCCCACGGAGGGAAATTGTCATCACCTGAACTACAACATGAAGCACAAGGTTGCAGTTCACTCTTGTCAAAATCATACCTATACAAGGAGATCTCATCACCCTTCCGGCATGTCACATAAATATTTTCTTTAAAACTCACAGCACTCATTGCACATAGCCAGTTTGCATTTTGAAGAATGGACCACACATTTGATGTTGGGTCATACATTTCAATACAACTTGAGAAAGTTTCAATTCCATTGCTGACCAAGAATCCTCCAAACAAAAACACTTTCCCTTTCACAACAGCACCACAAGAGAACATCTTTCTTTCAGAAGTTGGACCAACTTTACTCCAAGAGTTTCTTTCAGGGTCATATGTTTCCACCAAGTCTAGCAATTCATCACCAGACTTGCCTGCTATTGCATACAGAGACTTTTGATCTGCGACAGCACAGACACCCCACCTTGCGACACTCATAGGTGCTACCTCCTGCCACAGGTTTGTCTCAGGATTGTACCTGTGCACGCGCTTACTTTCATCACCACCAGTGGACATTCCACCAAATTAAATAGAGACAACCTTGGAAATTAACAACTGCATAGAAAGTATCTTCTGCATGCTCTTCCATAGGATCCCAAGAATTGACTAATGGATCATAACGTTTCAGTTCAGTGGTATCACCATCACCACTTATTATCATGATGTATAATTTTCCATGACAAGTATCCATACAAGTGCCAGGTAATTGTCCTTTCGTTCGCATATCTGCCATCTTGTAGCATCTGTTATCTGAAGGAATGTAGCAATACGTTTTATCCAATCCACAGACAACAAGCCCATCTTCATAACTCTTGAGGCAGTTCCTTGGTGGTTTGGCAAAATAGCAATCTTCTCTGCCACTTGAGACCTCTTTCATTGCATTTAAAACAAACTCTGTGCAAACTGCACTGCCTTTCACAAGAGGATGTGGTGAAATTACATTGAGCACAAAACTGCGTGACATGTAAGCGACACGAACGTGATGAAACAATTCATAAAACTTACATTCTTTATGATCACGCCCTTCCGTCCACTTCGAGATCACGTGAAAAACTTCTTCCTCGCTTTTCACTTGAATTTCATCACTTGAAATCCACTCTTCCACTTGTTCACATTTCAAATTCTGAAAATCTTCTGATTTTGCAACACTCATAAAGTTTGCAAAGATGAAATCACTCGCTTGTTTTTGCAAGTCGGGGCACTGGTACTTGATGGCGGAGTAATAGGCCATTAAGCAGCTCGAAGAAGACAATGTTTGAGAAATAAATTCCACTGACGTCACTTTCAAATTGGGAACAATTAGAAAATCAGCCAGTTGTAGCAAATCAAAGACATTTTGTTCATTGATGTCAACATGTCCCGTGTAGAGATATTCCAACACTTCTCCCATTACAGCCTTGCTCGTTTGTTCCAGTTTGATCACTCCTTCTTTCTTTTCTGTCATGTCAATGTTTAGCGCATTGTAAAAGAACGGACTCGCTGCGCATAACACGATTTTATGGGCTTTCAAGCGAGCTTGATGATCTCCCGAACCAACTTCTAGAATCACATCGCAGAGATGTTCATTCCTTCGTTGAATATTGAGGCGTTTCATCACCTCCACACAAAACTGATGTTGCTCATTGTCTCCTGCTACTGGTTGGCGAAGTGAATCCATGTGTTGATTACTGAATTTAAGTGGATAGACCAAAAAATAACAAGAGAAATCACTTCAAGTTTGCGCGCAAATATTCCACTGAGGACACAAGTAGATACTTCATATATGTAACTACCAATCTTTTAGTCAGAGTCCAAGAGCTTTTTGGACAGCGGGTGTCAAGAACATATGCATAAGTCCCTCCAAATATAAGCCCCCCAAACCGGTAACGCAAAAAACCCTCCGTTAAATCGCCCCTCCAAATATAAGCCCCCCAGGGGCTTTTACTTGGAAATTGCCCTCAAGTACAAAGTAAAACACAGCAAAAACGGTAAATTTCCTTCCAACCACAAGGCTAGCCCAATCGATTTTGAAACGCAAATTTCCCTCCATAGATAAGCCGTTCCGAATATAAACCCCTCCAAAAATAAGCCCCTCAAAAAGGGCCTTTGAANCCCCAGGGGCTTTTACTTGGAAATTGCCCTCAAGTACAAAGTAAAACACAGCAAAAACGGTAAATTTCCTTCCAACCACAAGGCTAGCCCAATCGATTTTGAAACGCAAATTTCCCTCCATAGATAAGCCGTTCCGAATATAAACCCCTCCAAAAATAAGCCCCTCAAAAAGGGCCTTTGAAAAATATAAGCCCCGGGGCTTATTTTCGGGATTTTACGGTATTTGACTAGGTATACCTATCGATAGAGCGCCAACGAGCAAATCATGCGTATTAAGCATCGGAATAAAATTCTTTTTTTCCCCATCTAACCGTTTCTTGGTCCCTTCCTGTTGCAAGGATTATTTTCTTGAAAAGGTGTTATGCATGTAACACTTTATGAGGTTTCGGAGGAGAGACAGTTCTCAGATTCAGTCTGGTGGCTTTACGAACCTGCCCAAAAAGAAAAAGTCAAACTACCCTTTAGATAACTTTTTGTACTTTACATGGGAGTGGCCTGTATGTCCTATATGGTCTTTGGCAAAAAACTTGATAAAATAGAAATATTAGCGCGTACCCAAGAGTTAAAAAGGGATACAAACAAGCGGATGTCAGTGGTCTAATAAAATGCTTCATAGCATATGGACCAAAACAAACTACACGTATTCGCTAAGTTGAACTACTGACTGACTGCTATAGTCAGGAGTCTATGTCAGTTAAAAATCTCTGTCGACGCTCTCATACTAATTTATGAATGTTTTTAGCACAGGCTACGTGACTGTGCACTGTATAGAGAAGGTGACACATAAATTGGGGAAACGATCCCTGACTTTTGGCATAATAATAAGATAGGAATTCGTATCGGTGGGAATGTGACAAACAGCTTTTTATAATGCCAAAAAAAAGAAGAATTAAACTAACTGAATGAGTTGTCATAGTTCTATTATATAATTTTCTATGTTGCAGTTTGTGGGTTTTTTAAAGGCTGGTTTAAGTGGTTTTGCCGACTAAATATTAGGAAGTTTTATAAATTTACTGAACATTTAGACTCAAAGGCTGAAAAGAATTTCACAAGGTTACACACCTGAAGGCCAATAAACTCCGTCACAATATAAATTTCAGCAGCATGTGTGTTTTAGTCAATTTTCCAGTTTCACTTTTTATTTTTCCACTGTTTTGGGGTGTGGTAATGTATGGATATAAAACAAAAGAAAAACAAAAATTAACGAAACATATATTTAAAACCTTGGACTTGTGTCCATTTGCCCATGGACTTACCGCCAAAACGCTCAGTTTCTCGGGATCGGTGGCTTGAAATGCGAAATTTCATCCCGGCTTACAGGAGGGGATGGACGTACGTACTAGGGACGATTTCGCTCATAGATAACCAAAATTTCCTACCTATCGTGCTCCGCTGCGCAAGCTTCGCGCGCACGAGAGCCCGGCTGTAAACTGAAACAATTAAGCAACAGCAACAACAATCAACAAAAAGAAAAAGAAGAAAAAAACTGGAAAAGAAATTCTTTTAAAAATTTTAACAATCTCATAATTTATTACTAACATTTCACTATTTTTTCGTAATGATTCATGACAAACTTGATGGTCCTTGTCATGAAAGATATCGATAACCGTGGGTATTGTATGTTTCGTTTATCGTTTGTCTCGCGATTGGCACTTGGATATTCATCACGACCTTTCGACCGGGCACTGCAGGTCTTCATCCGGTGCTGGTGTCGATTTACTGAGCAGGACTATTTTGTACCACCATGGTTGTTTAAGTGACTGGTGAATCGCGAACCTCACTCATGATCGGTGGAGGGTTTGTTTGTTTGCTTTATTTTGTATTTATTGGATTTGACAGTGTTCGACAATTTTTGGTGTTACAATCCGCCCAATAGAGCCTTTGTTTTGTTAACGAACCAAATAAAAAAAATCTTTTAAAATCTTAAAATTTAATTTTAAAAAGTCTGAAAGCTCAGGAAATTAACTGACTGAAGTTTAACTTCAGTTTTCTTGGCGCTTTCTCATTAAGAATTCGAAGTCACTCGAACGACCTATACAATCATCGTCAAAAGTGTTGGGAAGGCTTAGCTACTTTTTATTGTCTTTCCTTCTTACCCTTCCCCCTTGCCCAATGTTGACAAAAAAAGGTGTTTGTGCGAGTAATTGTTCTATTACATCCCAGCATTGAATAGGGGAAAAGGGGGTACGGGGAGTATTTAGAAAAAGAACATTTATATAATTGCTGTTAAGTTAATTGTACAACCTTCTTAACTACTTTTGTCTGCGATTGTAGCTGTATTAATCGAGTATTATCTCAGTATTTTATGAAAAGATAAATGACTCTGCTTCAATGTTTAACTCGAAAACTTTATATTTCTTTGTTGGATTTTAAAACAGTTATGGTTTTATTTCATATTTATAATGTCCATCTCCAAAGAGATCCTATTAAGGTCGACTTATCGCAAGTCTAGACATCCGGAAATTTACCGAAAAAGTGGTCCAACTCCAGAGGGTTTCTTCTTTGAACATTCACTCCGTTGGGCTCCGACCAAAACTTCAAAAGTATTCTCGTTTCCATTCCAATTTTTCTGAGAAATAGTCATAATTTCTATTGAATGGAATGGAACTCTTTGATCAAGTTGAAAACGTTAATTTTTTTTTAATAGAACAATCATCATCCTCTTTGTCAATTAGTCCCACTAGCTACTGACCGATCGCCTTGGCAATCATAAAGTGAAAGGCACCCAATTTCCCTTGTCCGGCCGTGGGTGAACAACGGTTTAGTTGACTTTGAATACTTTTAGCGACTTGCAGTTACTTTCGATCAGTCCGGGACAATCACTGAGAAGCGACGTAGGAATTGCAATGATGCGGTGATAGTGGAGCCTTGAGTTTGACAGTTAAATAACCTCTACCATTCCAGCGATGATTTTGTGAATAAGTTCAAAAGTTCTTTTTCAAAAAATACCATAATAATCTTTGTTGTCCCTCTAATCGCCTCAAGAAAATTTGAAACAATATTTCATTATGCAACATTTCGGAGAGACAACGAAGAGTATTATGGTATTTTTGAAAAGAGTCCGCACGAATTGTCATGTCGTACCGTAATGCATGATATTCTAGCAGGGCACAAACAAAGCCTCATTTTTTGATTCAGTATTTTTTCCATTACTTCCCTCCTGGCCTCTCAAACATATGTGTGGTGAACGCTCGTTACTTCTAAGAGAGAAAAAGAAGATGTAATTAGTAGTTTTCGAGTTTTTAAAGTGCACCGTAATTGTAAATTTTTAGATATCAATGACGCGAAACTCCGCCTTTGGAGCCGCACAGAGAGGTATTAGATTCTCGCATTAGATAATCTTAAAACTGTCCATTTCTCTCCATTTTTCCATATGAAGTCATTTAACTGAAGATCATAGCCGAGAAAAACAAACAGGTTTTAGGTTCTAGTTAGATTCATAGTAATTGCTATTTGATACAACATTTTGACGGTTATTCAAGTTTCGAACATTTCGCGGGCAACTAGCAACAAAAAAACAACAACAACTCAGAATTACGGGCACACAGGGCGGACACAAGCACCATGACCCCATCTTTTTCTTCCAGTTTTTGAATGCCCTATAACATAAGTGACAATCGTTCCAAGTTTTGGATAGTACATCCTTTTCAAGGGAATTACCTTAAGCACAGGTCATCATGGAATCAGTCTTATGGGGATATTTAAAACCACGTTTACAGATAAAGGCAAACTTATCACTATCACTATCACTATCTTTATCATTATCCTTATTTTGAGAATTATTACCATGAGATGGAGGAAGGGATACTAAAAGAATTTCGTTAGCCTGAGGCTGGGAGGTTTGTGGAGTACGCGCGGACGGTGGAAGCGCAGATGTGGATGGTGTGGTCCATGTTTCGTCATAGGAAGGCGGAACATCCTCCATGTTCGATGGCGGTGGAAGCGCAGATGTGGCCGTAGACCATGATTCGTCATATGAAGGCGGAGCATTCTCTCTGTTGGATAGCGGCGAGGTATAAGCAGGTGGAACCTGCACAGTGAATAGCGAGGAAGATTCGATCCTGTGAGGGACAGGTTGACGGAGACCTTCATCTGCGCGTGACGATCTGGATTGTCTTGAAGAACGCTGTCTTCTACAGTAATACCGGATGATAATTATAACCGCAACGAGGGTGATCATCGCGGGAATAACAGGCCACCAGATGACCTTCCGAGACGTGCCTTAAAAGACAAGCAAACTGATTAAAAACAACGATGATGATAAAAAGCGCAATCACGACAACAATAGGCACTACAACGTCAAGGACCAGCGAAAACCACTTGCCTTTATAGAGAAGTAAACTGATTTATTGCTCAGGTTAATATGAAACTTTCAATCAAATCGAACTTATTGGCGTCAACAAACATGGCGACGGAGTTCGCACTTGCGGTGTACAAGACACTTTGGAGTGTTTAGATTCCTATCAGGAGGGTTGTTATAGCGGAATTATGCTTCGATTGGAGTATTCAAATCGTACTATCATAAATTGTGGGGATTTACGTGATTCTGACGTGGCTGGCATGGGATCCGCAATAGCATGTTTATCGAGCGCACACCAATAAAAGGGGTTGGTAGGCCTAAACGACATTTACCTCAAGCCAAAATGCTGTTCGTTTCAATAAGTTTTTTTCCTCTGCCAGGTAGATTATGCTCTGGAACTGGTCCTACATTTTCACTGAACAAATGTGATTTATAAGCCGCTTGTTTTACACTGAGAGGTCGTGGAACACATATCGATTTACTGTGGTTTTTGTTTCAGGTCGGCAGGATCCTCTGACGCAAGAATATTTTCTTAGACCTCTTCTGAAGCGTGAAGCTTTTTATCATGGCTGAATAAGGGTTCTAATTTTCTCCATAGTGCCTTCTGGATCTGAATGACTAAGCAATTTTTTTGTAGTCCGTGTACCCATAATGCTTTTCTGCAATGTTGTAACACGCTGGGCCTAACCACCTAACTCGTTTACAGTGTAATAGTTTTCTTTGCAGGATGCTATAAGGAATGAAGTACATCAACTGTCGCCATGTTTGTGCAAAATGCGCTAAGAACAATGGACTTAAGAGCCACCCACCCCAAAAAAGGCTTCTATTGTCTTGACCCAGGGGGGCGCTCCGTGGTCTTGTTCAGTGATCACTGAAGCGTGAACGAAAATTCAGAAGTCGTGTTCAAAATGTGCATTGTCGAGTCTGAAATATGACTCAAAGATTGTCTTGTTGAACGCTGCCTTTTTCTTTTACACCAGCTAGAAAAAAAAGACGATGATGATCAAAAGCGCAATCATGACAAAAATAGGCACAATGATGTCAATGACCATTCGAGATTTCTCTTGAAAGAAAAACAAGAACTTATATTTATTTTGTGTGTTTATATGAAGTATTTACTACCAATTATAAATGTCATAAATCGACTCTAACTATCGTCTCACCAATATTATCTCGCTGTTTAAGATTCTCAACTAACGTGGACCTCTTAGCTGAATCCACAAAAAAAAATTACAGACATTTGTGCACTTAAATATAATCTGACTTCTACAGAAACAGGGCATGTTTCATTTCTGAAACCCCAACTTTAATGTCTTAACTCTCACTGTAAAGAGCGTCAAGCGCCGGCAAACTACAATATTAAAACTGACACCCATTTAAACGCTCAAAAGATAGGCAGGGTAACTCCAAGTTTTTGAGTTGCAGTTAAAACACGACGAAACGTCTGGTTTTCCTCCATTTTCAAAGCGTATTTTTAAAAACTCAGACGTTCAAGCAAAATTTTTGACTCTCTGTGCTAGTAACTTCCGAGAACGGCACTCGCAAACCCTCTCGCCACCAACAGGCGTCGACTCACCACCAACGACTAACTCTGGAATACTCGACGTAGGTAGTTTAAAATAGAGGATTAATTACTTAAACAGGATTTTTACTTTTTCGTCAAGCTTATTTATAGAATTTAAAGTCGACCCAAATATAAATTTGTCGATCCTAATTGACGATCCTTGTTATTACTCCACTGACAAAAGGTTCGGTGAATGTAAACTTTGCGGACATTAAAGAGATTAAAAAAAAAACTGGCAGAAAAGTTTCACAGCCACCACTATTTCTTTGAATTATGATAATAAACTAACGGTTAAGAGATTTTAATTTCCGTTCATGAAAGTTCTTTTCATCTGGTGTGCATGCTTGGGACTTTTTAAAACAATGAAGCTAAGTATTCTTGGTAGCGAGAAGGTTTGGTGGCGAGGTGACCAGGTACCCGGTTCCGAACCATGTTTATCCGGGACTAATCAAAAGTGCGCAAGTTTTTGTCCAAATGTACAATCAAGGAATTAAAGGTATCCCTGTCTATAAAACGGATTCTTGAGGCCTACGCTTAAGCGAACCTCCCAAGTATATCTATAACTCAAGAGAACAAGCTCAGACGGTCAGTTCACATTTGTGTTTTGATCATGACATAATCTTTTAAGGGGAATTCAACGGAGGGGTTAGATGAACAACTACCTACGAATAGAGGCTTAGTAACTTTTAAATGACAGACAAGTGAACTTGGTCAAGGTTGGGACCAGACCGAGGCACTAAAATAATTGGCATTCCATCGCGTGTTGCTCAGTTATCAGGGGGGTTCGAAGGGTAAGGAGGCGCTGGAATGGGGGTGGGGGGATATAACAAAGGCGTTCAAGATAAATCAATTTTCAACTTTTATACTTCCTCTGGAGGATCATGAAAAAGTAACAACAACACATTTACGAAACCTAGCATCCCTAACAAACTTACCTTTACGAGACGTGATAGATGCCTCAAAAGTTGTCATGTCACGGTGACCATAAAATTCAACGAACATGTCTTTTCCAGTGGACCTCACTGGATTTTTGCGTTGATTGGTGCAATAAGTTCCAATAAGCCGGAGGTCAGGCCTTCTTCCATCCCATATTTTCACATATCCACAAAAATCACAACCCATTGGAGTAGTACCACAAGAAGAATATGAGTAGAATTCAGTTTCAAGGGAAAAGCCGCTTCCCGTGGTAATCTTCCACGTACACATCGAATTGGGTGCAATCTTTGCCACAATTCTCCGTGGATATGAATCTCTAACAAAAATATCTTGAAAAGATAACAGTTAAATAAAAGGAGATAAGCTAAACATTTATATCATGGATCATTTTGCTCATGTAAGGGAATACAAGATTCTTAGACTCTGGATTCCGCGTTGCGGATTCCGGATTCCAGTGTTTGAAAATGAAACTTGGATTCTGGATTCCAATCGTTAAGCGGCATAACCATTATTTCAACTACAGTGAAACCTGTATTAAGCGGACACTCTCGGGGAGTGCTGTAGTGTCCGCTTAATACAGGGTGTCCGCCTACTACAGGTTTCGATAGATAACGTCCTATGAGGTGTCAAATGCCATTCAAATAAACAGTGGAAACGTTTAGAATACTACGAGAGAGTATGACGATATACGCGTGCATTATTTTCTTTATAATTCACAGTGGAACAATTGATCATAGAGACTTCGGCTACTGTCCCCTTAATAGAGAGTGTCCGCTTAATACGGTGTCCCCGTAATACAGGTTTCACTGTAGTACTGAATAACCAAAGGTTATACGGAGTACGGGCGACAAAGATCGAAGGTCAAAACGCTTTTGCTCCATCACTGTGTTTCACGTGAGAGATAGTCAAAACATGCGTGATCAGAATACAAGTGATAGAAGGTCCAAACGCGCGTGATCAAATTGCGTTCTGTGCATTCCATTCATTGTTAGTGAAAATCCAAACGAATACTCGCTACCTACATGCGACGCATGGGTAATAACAACCCGGAGATGAGGGCCCAGTTCTTGAAAGGCCGATTAGAGTTAATCCAGGATTAACATTTTGTTCCGTTTTTGTATTTTACATTCCTATGCATTGCTTAGGGTAACATTTTGTGTTATTATTACTACATCTCGTGATAAAGGCTCAACAGTATTTTGTAACCTCGAATTGCATGTTCTTAGACGAGAAAACCGTGCTTAAAATTTGCCTAAATCCTGGGTTAAACTTAACCATCTTTCAAGGAACCGGACCCAGGATTGCTTCTTTATCACCTGCAATCCTAATCTCCAGGTTGTTTTTACGCATGCGTTGCATGTATGTAGCCAGCATTTGTTTGGATTTTCACTAACAATGAATGGAATGCACAGAACGCAATTTGATCACGCGCGTTTAGACCTTCTGTCACTCGCATTCTGATGACGAGTGTTAAAGTTACCTTAGTCACCTTAGTCACTTAAAAATGAAAAGAGTAAAATGAATTGGGTGAGTATGGGCTCGTTTTTAAGGGGTACTCTTATAAGGGGTCCGGCCATAAGTCGAACTTTCGGTGTAACTTTAGGATAAACTTGTTGAAAACTCTTTACGTTAACCGGTGAAAGTTGTTCAAAGTTGTCAGACTCTTTGTTTGTGCATTGGTTTAATTCACTGATTTAGAGCAGGAGTAATTCTTCTAGAAAAAAAACTCACAATTTTCACGTTGGCACGTAGTTGTCGCGGTTGGCTTCATATGACCTGCCAAAAAAATTAACAAAATGAAATATGCTCTATTAATCATCATAGACTGGAATGTAAGCCTGTTCAAGGCGTTCAGGTNCAGTATTTTGTAACCTCGAATTGCATGTTCTTAGACGAGAAAACCGTGCTTAAAATTTGCCTAAATCCTGGGTTAAACTTAACCATCTTTCAAGGAACCGGACCCAGGATTGCTTCTTTATCACCTGCAATTCTAATCTCCAGGTTGTTATTACGCATGCGTTGCATGTATGTAGCCAGCATTTGTTTGGATTTTCACTAACAATGAATGGAATGCACAGAACGCAATTTGATCACGCGCGTTTATACCTTCTGTCACTCGCATTCTGATGACGAGTGTTAAAGTTACCTTAGTCACCTTAGTCACATAAAAATGAAAGGAGTAAAATGAATTGGGTGAGTATGGGCTAGTTTTTAAGGGGTACTCTTATAAGGGGTCCGGCCATAAGTCGAACTTTCGGTGTAACTTTAGGATAAACTTGTTGAAAACTCTTTACGTTAACCGGTGAAAGTTTTTCAAAGTTGTCAGACTCTTTGTTTGTACATGGGTTTAATTCACTGATTTAGAGCAGGAGTAATTCTTCAGGAAAAAAAAAAACTCACAATTTTCACGTTGGCACGTAGTTGTCACGGTTGGCTTCATATGACCTACCAAGAAAATTAACAAAATGAAATATGCTCTATTAATCATCATAGACTGGAATGTAAGCCTGTTCAAGACGTTCAGGTAGGGGAGAGTGGGACAAAATAGCTGGAGGCGAGAAAAAAACCGGGAAGAAAGGAAGTGCTGGGAAATTTCTCTCTCTTCCTCCACTTCCTCGCTTTTTTCCTGCTCACTTTTGTTTGCGCCCGGCTCCACATTATGTGAACTCCTGGAACAGGCGATGAAACAATGGAGATGATTGTCTCGGGTAGAAGGGACGTCACTCTCCTCACTCGCCTACCAGAGCTACCCTGGGCGATCCAAAGTTTGTTTTACATTTTCCAATTACAAAACTTGGCGAACCGTTTACATGAGAAAGTAAACGTTGGCTAGGCTACAGGTCCAGTGAGATCCGCCTAGCTAGCCAGGCCGTCATCTTGACTCGGGCAAAGGAGTCAACGTTTTTACCACATAAATGCTGGCTTAAGTTGACTCGGGTAGGAGGGTGACCCGCTTTCCCCGGCCAACTTTTTGCCATTGCTTTCTCGAAATATAAAAGCACATGATATATGTTATTCAGAACGACAAAGGGAAATGAAAAAATATGTTCACACGTGTAGCCTTGGGAGTGGGTACCGCTCATATACGGAAAATGTTCTTCGTACCCTCACGGTTAAATTTGTATTAAATTAAATTTGGATTGGCAGCGCTTAGAGTACTCGCCCCAAAAACACGTGCAAGGAGAGCAGATGATGATGGGAAAGGAAAAGTCTCTCTCATTAGCTTTCCTTCTGCCCACCAGACCCCGCGCGCCCCTAGTTGGAGGTTCTCAGTGAAAGACGACTGAGGAAGAGTCAGCTTATATATTGAAAGGGTAATTGAAGTTGATCCACGCCCCAAAAACGAGATTCTAATAACTTTCATTTTTTTGCGTGATGAGAGAGAGGGTAGGTGAACTTTCCGGCCAACGACCGCCCCGTCATTTTTTATTGGATAGCAGAAGATTGGCCCGGGAAATACTTAGAAACTTAGTATTAAACTTAATCTGTGAACGCTGATAAACAAAAATTTTAGAAAAACAGTGGGATTCCATTATGTTTGTAAGAATACCGAAAAGAGATTTTATTGATCGATTGTATTCCTCGTGCTTCGTAAAGTTATATGAGCATGCGAGGAAATATTGAGAGGGGCGTTCGTTTTCCATGGAACGGAGCTTCATAAAAGTGAGCTTAATCAATCTAAATCATCTGAATCTGCAGATTCAGCAAATTCGTTTGGCGAGTTTTTTAAACCTTCTTTCACAATCAAAACAGATTTGTTCACAAGCGTCTCTAGGGACTTTTAGAGATTTTAATTACCAAATCCACCCATTCAAGCCCTTAACTGAAGGTGTTTCCCTGTAGACTTACTCGAGTACTCTAAACGAAAACGGCCATCAGAGTGGAAGTCGTCCGACTGGAAGGTTACGAGGACTTGATTGCCTGAGGAAGAGACCGGCGGTGGCAGTTCATAGCCGCAGTATTGACCCAAAAGAGGTTGCTGTAAATAGGCTCCGTCATATATAGTGACATTGTCACAGCTACAGTTCTGGCAATCTTGCAAACGAAATGCTGTAAACTGAAGATGGATTTGGTAGCCTAATGGAGCCCTTATTAACCACTGACAGTGCTCCATATTACCGTAGTTGTTAGCAACAAATCCAGGACTTAGGATTGCCTTGACAAACGTTGAATGAAGTATTTGAGGCGCAGTACCGTTACAACCTATGATGAAGGAAAGAGAGAAAAAAAACTGCAATTGCAGAAATGAATAGAATAGTTGAACCGTCCGTAAACGACCGGTCAAGATGGGGAGAGCTATTGGTCGAGGAGGTGGTCGCTTCGGGACCGTTCGTTTAAAAGCAACGACGACGGCGACCGCGAGAACGGCAAAAGAAATAGGTTTAGATTGGCAACTAAAAAACCAACAAGTTTGCACGTGCATCATGCGTTTTTGTACATTTCTTTGCCGTCGTTGAACGACTACGACGTGCAACTTCCTAGTTTCACGTTTCGCCTTTTAGTAGGTAGGACGTGAACACGAGACAAGGAAGGAATTGATGAAGTCCAGTCATTGGTTGACAAGCTTAAAAAGAGCATCAAAGAATATTTAACAATTATTCCTCGAGCCCAAATGGGCTCTGAGTCAATAGCCCATGAGGCCGAAGGCCTATAATGGGCTATTGACTCAGAGGCCACATGAGGGCGACAGGAATAATTGTTTTAGTAAAACCCAACTAGTTGGTCAAAAAAATCGAGAAAAAAAAATTTTAGCTGCTTAAAGCTAGACTTTAACCCTTTTTTTGCCGCCAAAAAGCCGGCGCTTTTCGCTACTAGTGGGCTATAACATATAGCCTAGTAGTAGATTAACCAATCAGAACGCAGCATTGATAATAGACCACTAGTTGGATTTTACTAAATTGTAGTATGGTTTGGCATAACGCTCTTCCCGCCTACATGTCTGCTACTGATTATAGACTGGGTCCAAATGCGTGCTTTCGGGATAATATACCCTCAATCTTTATACCAGGAAGCCCTTAGCTAAAATCGCTAGACTTGCATGAGGACAGGCGAAATGAACTCAGTATGAGGACATTTGATAAAATTACAAAAGGCGGGCCCTTGTCAAAACATCTAACCCCGATAAGAACTATCGCCCATGACTATTCTCTTAGAAATTCTAACCCTTGGACGTCTTTTTAATGTAAAACTGAGCATTTTAGGCGAAAGTTTCTCCCTAGTACTATCCTAATGGCCAACGCAACATCTTTTAAAAGTTAATTAGGTTATTTTGCAGCCGGTAACTATGATTGAACAATATCCTTGTAATTGAATTTACTAGGTTTTACTATTTTTGATTATTATATTGATTACTGTAAACTCCAGTCCAATAAAGTTTTTGTAATTTTTCTGCTTATTGTAAACACATTATTGTAATTCATATTTAATGCGAGAATCTTGTGATTAAAGGGAAGGTTTCACGGTTCAGCGCATGCTCATTAATCAAAATCTTCCGGGACATGCTGTATCGTCTATGCAAGCAATATGATCTTGTCGTAATGTTTCCAAAGAACCAATCTACACACTCCCCTGACAGTCACTTGATCAACTTATGTGCAAATAGCCGTAATTTCATCGACTATNTAGACTTGCATGAGGACAGGCGAAATGAACTCAGTATGAGGACATTTGATAAAATTACAAAAGGCGGGCCCTTGTCAAAACATCTAACCCCGATAAGAACTATCGCCCATGACTATTCTCTTAGAAATTCTAACCCTTGGACGTCTTTTTAATGTAAAACTGAGCATTTTAGGCGAAAGTTTCTCCCTAGTACTATCCTAATGGCCAACGCAACATCTTTTAAAAGTTAATTAGGTTATTTTGCAGCTGGTAACTATGATTGAACAATATCCTTGTAATTGAATTTACTAGGTTTTACTATTTTTGATTATTATATTGATTACTGTAAACTCCAGTCCAATAAAGTTTTTGTAATTTTTCTACTTATTGTAAACACATTATTGTAATTCATATTTAATGCGAGAATCTGGTGATTAAAGGGAAGGTTTCACGGTTCAGCGCATGCTCATTAATCAAAATCTTCCGGGACATGCTGTATCGTCTATGCAAGCAATATGATCTTGTCGTAATGTTTCCAAAGAACCAATCTACACACTCCCCTGACAGTCACTTGATCAACTTATGTGCAAATAGCCGTAATTTCATCGACTATGGAATAAAACCTCCAGGTCAACAATAATTAATTTCAACGTTGGTACTAAGTGTTGGCATAATCCACTACGATTTTAGTACTCCTCCATCCTACTTCAGGTTACTCTGAAATACACTTCTACTTTGAAATACACTCTGAGATCGCTGAGATACATGTCAGTGGGATTCTTAACCGATAGAATTAATAATAAATTGGAAGAAGTAATTTAATTAATGAGCACGCGCTGAACCGGGAACCTGTCCCTTTAAACATCTTGTTTATTATTTGGCGATCAACGCGCGACGACTTTATAAACCTCAAGAGGCGAGGTGGCATCGGCGCTTCGACTAATGGCAAAAAGGTGCAGGAGGAATACACCTATGAAGCAACATAACAATGTACAATAATCTTCTGAAATTTTTACAATATGGAAGTTTTTCTAAGAGCGATCTATGCTTAGGCCAAACGACGAACTTCGTGAGTTAAGTTTATAAAAAGTTTGACGTCTGGCTCAGTTAAGTTCCTCTGAATGAGTTCGGATCGTCCACCACTTTCTATCAGTCAGCTTCAGACAGATAGAACGTCTGAAGATCGTCTCCAAAACAAAGGTCGATCCTCACATGCGACAAACTAAAGTAATAAATTTCAAATAGTTCAGTACTTCTAATAGCTGAGGAGGGAAAATTGTCGTTTCGTTTAACCCGGCCACGGGTCAGAAAAGGATTGAAACCGGATTTTGGTAGAACAAGACCTCCTGATTAATGCCTAGTAATTTTCAAGATAGACTTTGAGTAAACGGCATGTTTTTCTACTCCAGTATGAAAAGAGACTGAAAGGTGAATCCCCATTTACTTCGTCATTCTTTGATAACAAGTTAAAAATGGTAGCTTACCCAAGTACTCTTCAATATAATAGCAAAGGAACTTATTAGGAGTATATTAGGTCGAAAACAGATGAAAAATTTTGTTTAGAAGCGTGTGAACAGCAAAACTGAAAGTTTTTGGGACCCTGTTCCAAACCTAAAGGTAAAGAAGGTGAATGTTACGGCTGCAGATGACCAGGTTATCACTGTAAACGTTGACAGAGACGTCTTTTGGCGGCTACTTATTACTGCTAACACACGAAAAATCAATTTGAAGGAAGTTTTGCGCTATGAGTTGTCACCAATTCCACGCGCACTCATCACCTTCCTCTTATAAACGATGAACGGTCCCTTATATATGAAAATCGAACCACAGGGAGTCTCCCGAGAAGAGGTCTAGACACAGCCAGTTTTGGAAGAGAATTTTTACTGTTTTATTGCATGCATTTACACGAAATGTACTGTGTTGTTTCAAGTTGTCACTAACAAAATCCTGTGTATCTAATACAGTGAACACAGAGATCAGACTATGTGTGATTCTGTGGTCGTTTGCAAGGGATTTTATAATAATGGATTATTCTAAAACCGCCAACACAAAAAATTATCCTCGCTCGCTTGCGAGAGGTGATTGTTAAGTTCACAAAAGGTTCCATTTAAAGAATGCCTTGGCTAGGAAATTAAGGTGGTCGCTATTAAAAAGGCGGTCGTGTAGCGTGGGACCTGAGCCCGAAGTTGGGTCGGACATGCGCAGTTTAGTAGACTTACGACTCGTGTAACTGGTGTGCTAGTTTAGTAAAGTGATTCGAACACTAGTTGTGTTATTTGTGTTAGATTCGCCCTATGCAAAGAAATCCAAGACAGTCTTCTGTCTTCTTCTCCTGGATTCCAGGCCGTGGATTCCGGCTTCGAAGTACTGGATTCTGGATTCTTTATCATTGAAACTTGGATTCCTTATTCCAATCATTAGTGGGATCCAGATTCCTTGAGCTGTATTCCGGATTCCAAAGTCCAGGATTCCAGATTTCACAAGCAAAACTTTCCTGGATTACAGAATCCGGAATCTGAATTTCGGAATCCGGAATCTGGATTCCCTTTTATGAGACATCAGCAGGTGTAGGTAGGTTGGACTGTATTTAGAAACAGCAAAAACAAGTGATGTTACGTTTTAAAATTAGTACTCACCGCCTGCGACCTTTCGTTGTCTCGTGAAAATAACACCTTGAAAAACAAACATACATAAATACGCTGACACACAAGCAAAGAAAATAAGAAATCAGAATACGGAGAGAGGTTAAGGACAGAGGGCGACTTCAGGTAAGAGTAACAGATCAGGATGGCTCGCCCTTTCGAAGGGAACTGCGAAACGTAACAAACGGTTCTGAAACCACAAGCAGCAGATGGTGAAAGACAACAAACACAAGCAAGCCTTTTTTCCTTCAGGATTTTCCAGGTTTTGAGATCTTTTAAAAGGGAAGAACTTAAGACGTATTAATATTTCATACATCCTCTTATGAGTTTTTGTAAACTTCAAATTCCAGGTGCCTTCGCTTTTCACCGATCGCCATTTTAGTTAACATCGCGTGACGGAAAAGCTCTCAGACGTCATGTATGCAAACTGGCAATTTACGATCACGCTATTTTTTGCGTCACGCCACTGTGGGTTGATGTAAGCCGCGAAAGTCATGTATAAAGTCGTGTTTTCTGAAGCAAAAATATCTAGAATCGTGGCAATAGTAGTCAATACTATTCTGTTAATTGAAACAGAACAGTGCTGAATGACTGCAAAATCACCGAACTTGACTTGGTTGAAAAAATCGAAATCTTTGTTTATAACATTGTCATAAATTCTGGGTTGTTTCTCGATTTGTATCTCGCTGAAAAGCGCTTTATTTTACAACCATTTACTGAAGCTTTAAAGTATAAAAACTCGTTATATTGGAAATTTTGAATTCAATGGAGACCACCGCTTGTTTGCCGCTAGACAGGACGCGAGGCCTGCCACCAGAGTCAACATAGCAGCAAAGAGCTTCTTAAAATTTTATTATAATACCCGCTAAATCGCCAAACATTAATACGTGTTATTGCTCGGTCATTGAAACATATGTTGACAAATATACCTACCTAAAGTGATAAGTATGAGTCGTTGTATTTGAAGCAATCTCATCCTTTCTCCAACCAGTTTTCCAATATTTTTCATAGAGAACTTATAAGTTTATGGGTACGTGCGAAGTTTTATTATTAGGCATGACTCAGGAAAAGTCCGGTGAGCGGTTGCCAAAATCAGGAATGGAAGCAGGGAAAAGGGAATATGGAAGGACAGGCGGAAGTGAAAATTCAAACAGGACTCGTTTTCAATGTAGGATGATATTTTTAAGATTTTCACCTTACAAGTGATTAATAAAGTTTTGTTCTTGTGTCGAATTTAAGGAAAAGAGGATAGAACGTGCACCATACACCTCCGCTTGAGCTCGACTTCAAGGGTCTTCGAATACAGAACTGGCTCATTTGACCATTTGGAGGTTGTACGATGTTGTGTCAAATTGCACTATTGCTTTGAGTTGTGTCAGTCTGTTTCTTCGCTGTCCCGAGCTGTTTATCGCCCCATGTGAGGAAATTTGAAATCCGGGAAATTTGTGCTTGTGCAATCCGAAATACAGCTCAAGGAGTCTGGAATCCCACTAACGATTTGAATCCGAAATCCAAGTTTCCACTGACAAAGACGTTCAGGAATCCGATCCTTGGATCCGGAATCCGCGGCGTGGAATCCAGAATCCAAGACTGTCTTGGATTCCCTTCCATGGGGCGATGATGATACTAGAAACCTAGAACAAGCCGCCTGTCCCGAATTGTCTCGCATGCAAAGTAACTTGAATCAGCTCGGGACTGCAAAAAAACACGACGCATGACTCATCAGCGATTTCATTTGAACTTTAATTGAAACATTTACATTCACATCCATATTTTAGAGAAAGCTGTAGCCACCGTAATGTTTTTCTGTATTTCAGATGCTCAAATTTTAATGACTTGAACAACCGACACATGTGTACACAAACGCAGAGTGGTCTGCCTGCAGTAAATAAAGTGTGCCAAAGACATTGTTTGTTAACATACTATAAGATAAATCTGATTATCTTAGATTGGAACTTTTCAATATAAAAAAAAAACTGAAATGAAAGCAAACAACAAAAATTTTCAAAAGAAAAAAAGCGACAACAATAAAAAAACCTATCCAGTAAACAGAAAGTCGCCAAGCCAGTTTCCTGGCTAGGCTAGAAAAATTAACACATGAGATCGGGGTCAAATG